TAAAAAGACAGGAGAGAAAGAAAAGATAAAAGTAGATGTCAGAAGACACCCCAAAACTTGCCCCTAAGCAGACAGTAGCTAACGCAAATGGAACAAAGGATGAAGTCAAAGAGTTGGATGGACATTTTCCAAGGCCAGCTTGAGAAAATAAAGCAAATTACAATGAAATGTGCAAGGACCTAGAATTAGAAAAACAAAAGGGAAGAACATGCTCAGCATGTCTGAAACGGAAAGAACTCAAGAAAAAACTCAAGCCTCGAGTTGCAATCTGGAAAGCTTCTGTAGGCAAAGTATTGAATGATGCAGGAAGCATCCAGCGAAGATAGAGAGAATACACAGCACCATGTGAGTCAAAGGATTAGTTGACATCCCACCACTTCAGGAGGTAGCCCTCGAACCACAACCCATGATGCTGAAAGAAGTTCAACCTGCACTGAGTACATTAGCCAAAACCAAGGCACCAGGAATTGATGTTCACCCGTTGAAATGCTTCAGAAAGCTGAAGAGTGATGAAAGAACTAACTTGTCTATGCCAGGAAATTTGAAAGACAGCTACTTGGCCAGCAGACTGGAATAGGTCCATATTCCAGAAAAACACACACATACCCTCCAGGGGGATGAACAACAGAAACCATAGGGGAAGGTAGATGGCAGTTGAGTACAATGTGAAAATAATAATCATTTATCATTTATCAAGGGGTCACGAGGGCTGGGGGAGGGAGGCAGGGTAAAAAGAGGAGCTGATACCAAGGGCTCAATAGAAAGTAAATGACCAGAAAAGAATGATGGCAATATATGTGCACATATACTTGATACAATAGATGTATGGATTGTTATAAGAGTTGGAAGAGCCCCCAGCAAAATGATCTTTTAATGAATTTTTTTTTAAAAAGAAAAAGAAGTGACCTGCCCAAGACTTCTTTAGAGGACTGCAGATCGAGGAAGTCACTTCTGAGGACTAATGTGTGCCTGACCTAAGCATGGCAGTCTCCATCATTGCATCATATGCATGCGAAAGTTAGACATTGACTAAGGAAGACCACCGTAGAAGAATCCGTGCATGTGGTGCTGGAGAAGAATATTGAAAGTATCATTGTGGGGGAACCGGCCTCATAACTGACTGGGTCCTACGTTATGTCATTGAAGGCTAAATTAAAGAAACATCAGACAAGGCATGCAGGGCTCACCTCTTCAGACGGCAGGATCAAGAGAGAGTGAATGTATTCTCTAACAGGCTTTCATACTCTCCGGCTAGCAAGCCCTGGCAAGCACATACATAACAGAAAGAGGATGTACCGGAGACATATAGGTAACAGGAAGATACGTATGTAACAAGATGGGTGGGTTCTAGAATTAAGATGGTGGCTTAACCTTGATCTTCTCTGAGCTGGCTTGACCTTAAGTGTCCCTGAGCTCTTCTCCAGGGGAAAAATCCATGATCCTGATCAGAATGGAGTGGGTCAAACTTAAGTGGGGTGGTCTGATTGCTCTTCACAGCAGACAAGCTTCAGACAATGTGTTAGTCCGGATACTTTAAAGAAAAAAATCAGGATGAACCCCTAAAAAAACAATAAAAAAAAGAAAAAAAGAAAAAGAAACAAATCCACAGAAACTCAGGTATAAGAGAGAGTTTTAGAGAAAGGTAAAGTGTGCATCAAGAAAACATCCCAACCCAGTGCTGCCCAAGCCCACAAGTCCAACAGTAACCCATTAGCCCATATGTCCAAGATCAATCCACAAAGTTCTCCTCCATTTCACAAAAGAGACGCAATGATGCCAACTGTAGGAGAGCCAAGTCAGTGAATGTCTAAGCATCTCAGCACTGGCAGGGGTCTCCAGGGTCTTACACGGCTGCTCCAGCACCCAGGGCTGCA